AACTTTAGTTTACTTACGAGATGAAAGAGTTCTCAGGGCGGTTCTCACCGCCCCCAGCCACCGACTAACCTAGCACAGTCAACGACCAACGAGGTCACGGTCCGCACCGAACCTCGATGACCCGCAGGCGACGTGTCATAATTAACGCACGCATGAGTACATGGGCGGCCCTACCCACCGAGGAGGGCCTCAAACCCTTGGGTTATATCAGTTATAAAAAAAGTCCGAATTATTCTGACATCAACGAGTCAACGATAGTTCTCATTATAGTATGTAAATGACAGGTGCAAGCAAGGTTAGGACAATAATAATTGGAGCCCTAGACTCGTTATGAGGACTCGGTTGAGATGAAGTTATAAAACCTTTTTATAAAAAAGTGCCTGTGTTCACAGTGCAAGCATATGGAGAGAAAGTTGATTGGTCATTTGTATTTCAAATATTAAACATTAATTTTTTTATATTAATTAATAATACGTCATCAATCGATTTTAAGTTCAATCTTTTTGAAATAAAATTAGAATAAGAAAAAAGTTTTTAAAACTCTCCTGTTCTAGTATGTTCTTATGTAGAAGACAAAAACAATTACGAATACAAAATAAATAATAAAAAGTACTTACTATATAAAACTATTTAATAGAGATAAATTTATCGATAGATATTTTTATTACACTATTATTTATCAATAATATTTGTATTTTAATATGTCTCTTTCCATATAGCGGAAGTCTTACATCGCATATACTCTAAGCAACCCTAACATGAGTGTCACTTCAAAAAAGAAAACATGTTATAATAAATTGAAAACATATAGTGTGAATTTGACTCAAATTCAAATTTAAATATCTTTATTCAATTTTGAAGCATTACACTTACTTATTGATTGATAAAAAACACTAATGCCGGTTTGGAAAAAAAGACTGATCTGAGAAGAACCGACAAAAGAAACTCAGCGTGACACTTCCATTTTTAACATAGTTTGACAAAAATAAAAAAAACATGTTTAAAATACATTAAATTCCCCTTGAAATAGCCTGGAACGATCAATTCATTTTCAGAGTGTGTTAATGTTTAAATAATACTCTAATAGCCTGTAACATACAAACGTTCCTTTACAAGGTTTTTTGAATTTAGCTACTGATTCATTTTGACACTTCATTTCACTATGACAGACTTAAAGCATTCACCGTCGTATTCAATAGATATTATTACACAATTTATTATACACGAAAATTAACGTTCTATTATAACCGTCTTCCGATCGGCGCACAGTTAAGTTTCAAAACTCGTAAGTTTTAAATTTTTTATTTCACGTGAGGCTTGAAATGTCCTGCCACGGGAGTTTACTCACAATAATAACATTACAGTCATATCAGACCAATGCATGTGCATTAAAATGCACTCTTGTTGTCATCCACAGCTTTTTCCTGATGGGCTTTGAAATCTTTGTAATTTAAAAGATTTTACATATAATACTTTCTTTAAAAAAAATAATAGCTTTATTTATAAATTGCCGAGAGAAACCAATTACGGCGACGTTTTAAAGAGAAAAGTTATATTTTGTGCTTTTAATATTATGTTTGTAGAGTTTAATGATGTAGATTAAAGTTGAACCTTTTTAATTTAGAGAAGTTTAAATTAAGAGCAACTTTTAAAATTAATTTTACATTGAAAAGCAATCGAAACCTACTTCATACTTGACTTTTTTCCCTCAAAGTAGACAATAAATGCCAAAGAGCACCTCAGAATAACGAGTTTAACGATAAACTGAAGAACGACCTGAGTTCTTAACTACGTAACTTAGTGAGTCAGGAAGGTGTATGGAAGATTATAATGGCTGTCTGCCCAACTGAGTCACAGCCGTTAACTTCTAGGAAACACTTATTATTAATTCATTTATATATATTATGGCGCCGCCAAATCGAATTAAAAAGCGTAAAGGATGTGTGTCAGTAGCACGGAACCTAATGATATTTTTTTTATGTGAAAACTTTCCAAGCGAGCAGGTGGTTCACATGATGTTAAGTGAATACCACCGCCCATGGACATCTGCTACACCCAAGGGTTTGCAGATGCGTTGACAACCTTTTGAAAATAGGCTCTCATTAGCGTGAGATTATGTCATCATCCACATAGCAATATCAAAAGATAAAACTGAAATAATTAATCTACAAGTTACAGGCATCCCGCTTCCGGGTTAAGGAAGACATTATGATGTCCTGTGATCATGGAGGCCTTTTGTGGTAAGGCCACGCAACGTCTACGGCCGTTGCACGAACGGGCAGGCCCGTCGGGGGAAGTATCACGGTCTCACAGAAGACCGGCGTGAATTGGAAGTATTATTCTTTCAGGCTTCGTCTGGTGATTGAGGTAACCGGGGCCCACTTCTTTGGTGTTGGCAACGCAACTGCAACCCGTTAGGTGTTGTAAACACTTAACATCTGCTTAGCCGTCTGCTCTTTTGCCGGTTTTTCACATAAAAAAACGTCTGAATCGACAGGAATGAACAAAACAAATTGCAAAAAAACCTCACATAGTTTTATTCAACCCATCGTTTCAGTTCAAAGCTTATAATTGCACTGGGTTAAATGTCCTAAACGTAATAAAGAGTCCTCGGACCCATTTGGTATATCCCCGTTGAGTTAAGAGTGACTCCATTCGATTCTTCGTTTTCTTATCCTCGACATCGCCAAGTTCTTATTAAAACCGCTGCGAAGGAAAATGGCTGTTCCTCGCGTCTAAATTAAAACGGCTATAATAACGCCGATGTTGTAGTGAAACGTTTGAAACAACATTCCATTGTCATATCGCGGGACGATACAGTTAAAACGTACAACTAGGAGCTATTCTAGCGCCGCGACACAGCATTCCATTCATAGCCCTAATACGGCAAAATAGTCAGAGCAATTATCGTGCTACCACAATGCAACACAAGAGTGCCATTGTGTGCGCATGTTACCCACACATATACGCAAAAGGTCGATGAGTAACGTCGGCGTGACTCACACTGTGCCAGATAAAAAGAATAAATACTTTACATTGAATATTCGTTTGAGTCCGCAGCCTCTGCGAGACAGTTTGGCTTACGAAATGTTTGATTAAAGCATCAATAAAACATTTCACATGTAGTAACTACTCGTGCGTTTTGAACATGAATTTGTTTATGATACTAACTACACGAAACGGCCTAGGACTGAAAAAAGGCCAAGTGAAGTGAACTTAGAACTGGGAAAGTTCTTTACGCACAGAAATGTATGTACCTATTTGCTCTAACGTGAACATCCACCCCGATTTGCTCAAGTAATTACACCAAAAATACATATAATATATATATATATATATAAATATATATATATGCGTTTACATAAGTCTTTATTTTGTTTTTTATCAGTCGGTCTCAAACATTACTATATTAATATTATAGTTTGGAACAAAGTTATCTTTTAATGCAATGTGTCCCGACCAATAACGATAATAGCCACCGTAATAGAACTTAATGATCAAAAAAATTTTAGACTTAATATTCATGATTAAAGTCCTTAAGGCCCTTCCCTCCAATGTTTAAGTACAAGATTCAACGAGCCCAAAAATAAATTTCCTTGCTTTTATGGATCATACATTGAATCTTGAGGTCAAATAATATAGAAGTTATACATAGGATTAGGGAGGAACAGCCTCAACAGCCAGTTAATACATTTATTATGCACAAGGTAAATCCATTACATTTACTACGTTATTCAACGGTAGATTCTACTAAGAGATTGAATGGCGGGCACATGGGGAGTTCATTTCATTAGAAAAGTCTAGACTTAATCAACCTGCGTTTGTATCCAATCAAGGTTAGAAGTTACCTAACATTCAGTACATGATTTCTGTTAACGGACATAGTGATTAACCTTTGATTAAAATGTCATTAAACCTTCCTGCTACAGGCTGATTACACGAGTTGATAGCGTAAATACATACACAATACGAAGCTATTCAAAACATCGTGAGTGGCTAAGCCCTTGTTTTAGTCCATTCATTGAAGAACGTAAGCGTTCAGTGAGTAATATTACGAAACGGTATATATATATATATATATATATAAGAAATGATCTCTTGAACCAGATATTCAAATCTGAATTTCATATTCAATATGAGAAAATGTTGTTTCTTTTGTGGTGTGTATCTAAAATGCATACTAAAAAAAATCCTTGCATTCAATGAATCTCTTTAATTTCGCCGGTAATTTATAATTTCAACAATAATACGTATAATATAAACATGTTCTTTTTAAACATGGGAATCCTTTTATAATTTGTTAACTGTTTTTTATTATTTAGACTTTCGTGATTTTTTTATGGGAATTGTTTTATATTAAACCGTGGTGACTCGGCGGATCTACTCCTGACAGTTTCGTGCTTTGCAACGTATAAGTATGTGCATAATATGAGTCTTACATACATGCCCGATGTAAGGTAATAATTAAATGGCGGGAATTTCGTTCGGACGTGTAATTAGGCTACAAAGAATTAACTGAACAATAGAGCTGTGGATCGTGCGGTTCCGAGGCACGGTTGCCTGCCCCGGCCAATCAAGGCAATTATCATAGTTCGCCGTTTAAACTTAGCGCCTGCGGAGCATATCGCGGCAAACGAACAATTCAAACTTACGAGATTGAAGCTAATTATTGTAGCATTTCACCTTAATCACAATTGTAAAACTCCCGATTATAATTTGCCACTGCGTTTACATAGCGCAGAATTAATCAGTGCTGTCACTGGGTAGATTATAGTTGGATATAATCAAATTGAATTGTGTTAAAGCCGGCTTTTAGTTCATTAACATAATATCAGGACGATATTCGCTGCGCAGTACAAATTTTTATTATGATGTCCTAAATAAAATATTTGCTCCATCGGTTAGGTGGGGCAAAACGATTTTATAAAATTGTACTCAATGCTTCCCTTGAAAACTGTGTAAATCGTTTTGGGCGACGAAAGCGTACTTTTAACAGACATATGAGTGCGTGGGAACAGATACTGGAGATTTCTTATGGGCCGATGACGCAATCGCTTCGCTTGCGGTTACGGTCTGTGAGTTTCACTGTATTTATTATCTTCACAAATTGAAATTTCGTGACTCAAAAATTGATGTTTAAAGTAATCTTTCCTTGAAGGCAGGACCTTTAAGAAAATTTAGTATTTCTCAAATTCTGCCCTAAAAAATTATGTAATGAGTCGTGTCTTGTTAAAGATGACTAAAAACTAACTCACACATGTTTCGGTACAAAGTTGTACTATCCAGAGTAGTTATACTTTCAATAAATTTTTTTATATAAATTGTTCAATAGTCTCTTTATTCGTTATATTTATTTTGACATTTTGTTATTTATTTAATAATTTAGCCGTATTGGGGCCACAATTTGGGAGCTTAAGGCATTATCCTCCTTTACCATAAGGATAGCGCATACATTTATACGCTTACAACAAAATCCTTCCGCAATTACTTCAGGAACAATCAATCTATTTAACGAGGAAACAAACAAATATTTTGATGTACGGGTTAACCTTTTCCAGGTTTTATATACGTAGGTTTTAATTAGAAAGGTTACGTTTTTGGTTAAATTTTTCAACGTTTTAAACATTTTCAACTCAACCACAAAATCATGATTATAGTCAAAACTTCATCGGTTTTAGTTGTAAAACTCGTTACAAAAAATATCAAAAACAGGAGTCATGCGCCACCTGTTCCAAGAACGCACCCTCTACTAAAATTCGAGTTTTACGAGTTGCCCTGACCGACTTTTCACTGAATGGCAATCTAACATACAAATAAGCATTTTTCGATGAAAGTATCTTGTTTTGAAGAATAATGATAAAATTCAATCTAATGTTGGCGCTGGCAACACTGTATACCGGATATGACGTTATCTACTCGAGCCAAGGGACACATGGTCGCATGGAGCAGCGGTCACTTGGATTTCGGCCGCGTTCCCAGACGGTTATATAACCACTAGTGCTGCTTGTCGTTATAATAGTTGTTAATATTCACGTTCAGTAATAGTTAAAATATTAGGATCAAAGTAAAATCGTTAGAATTCTTATACTACTTGGTATCTCTTTGAAAATATGTTTAAATGAAAACAAATACTTTAAATAATATAATAAATATCATTTTGAAGCTTACGACAAACATAAGCTTTAAAATTATGTTTGAATTATTAAATTTGATGAAGAACTATGGAAATTATGTCGTTCTGACAATAAAATCCATTTGAGAAAAAATATATAGAGATTGCTATTACATGTTTCCCGCTGACAACCCCAAGCTGTTTGACGGTATCCAAAGGTAATTTTTAAGTTGAGTTAATAACTACAATTAATAAATTAGTGTTTAAGAATATTTGTGTTATATTTTAAATCGATGTTTCCAACTGCATTGCCTACATAATGTGTTCATCGCAATTTTACAACTTTCAGAACTGAACTATATTTATTTAGCGAATCTTTTTTCACAACGAACAATTAATCACTTTGTGATTTTGAAGGAATCGTTGTTCATAAACACCTGCAATAGTCTTACGCTATTGGCGTCAAGGACACGATCAATCGACGATTGTTACATTAATACAACAGTACGTTTAGTACGTACGTACGTATAGAATAACGTTAGTACGTAAAAATACTCGTATTGTGATCTGCGCGGCATCCCCGGTCTACCCGGAGCAGTGGTGCGGCAAAAAAGGCGGGTCTCTGTAGGGTTGAAATGCGCTGACAACATTCACAGCGACGGAGCGCAGTAATACTCTTAAAAGCTTCGCTGGAGCCAAGTCGCTAATGGTTTCCAGTTCGACGGTCGGCCATCCGACGGAGGAACCGCCTTCCTCTGCGTATCTTCGCTCACCGGACGTCGGCACAATGCCGCGCTGACTGAGCTTTCGCAGCCGCGGGGGATTACGCCGCCTTCTCAGTTCGCGCCGAATGGATTACCAGGGATGGGTAGCGCGCCCGACTTCCGTAATTGAACGAGGCGTTCGAACCTAAATCTTGGTGACGCTACCAAATAATTATTTCGTTTTAATGCTTTACCGTTCCCGATCTTTGTTTTCGACATGTTAAACGAGAAACATGCAATGGTTATGTTTATATGCTGGTGGAGGCATAACATCGCGAGAAAACCCGTTTTTCGAAATCTATACTTAAAAGGTAAAACAAGAATCCTTATAAGAAGTAAGTAAGAAGGAAGTCATGTCCGTCTGTCTGTCCGTGTGTCACCACCGATTTTCTCCGGATCGCGTGGACCTAGCAAGTTCTATACCATATCTTTAATCGTGTTTACACAGGAACAAGATTTTTATACACCTATTAGAGAATATAGACCTCAGTATCAAGTATAAATTGCAACTTGAAATGTCTACCTGTTCCTGAGAAAATCTGTGGTGATACGGAACTCTCGGCGTACGAGTTCGACTCGCACTTGACCGTTATGTTTTTTGTTTCTATTCGAGCTGTTTAAAATCTGGATCCCGAAGAATCACTGAGAAATTCGTTCAAAGAGATTAAAATTTTGACTGTTGCTTCTCAGTTCATATGTTATGTTATGTATGTCCATAAAAATAAGAATGAATTTTCAACACATTGTAATGTGCATGATATAAGCAAGTCTAATGCTTCTATATTGAAAAAAGATTAGAATTGAATAAGAAAAAAAAATCGAAGTATTTGAAATCCTCGGTGGATCCGCTATAGTGTCGCGAGGTGGACTGTGTCCTAACCCTCTGTACAGGGGAGGTCTTTGCCCAGTATTAGGACATATATATAGGTTATATTAAATTACTTTTTTTATTAGGTTACATTACTTTTACTTTACTTTTAAAGAGAATCACGGTATGAGAATAGAGTTTAAAAATACAAATTAATGAGATGACTTTCCGAACCTTCATACAGACGACGAGGTTTTCGTCCAGCGTTAAGACCTTGATTTAAAAGGCAATGAATCACTGACGGTTTTGTAAGAACGGCGAAAAAATTGTCGCCGTAAATAGACGTATTCGCCTACTGATACTTTATCTCCCCAAGCCCGTGGGTTCTGGCTAGCCCACCGGTTCTGCGTCAGATGAAGCTTTAATAGTCTCGGGACTGAAAGCACAAACATCAGTTAATATGAGATACAAGTACTTTATCTTGTCATTGATAGCGCCAGGGTCGGGTTATTCTGACGGATTTTTAATGTCGTTTTGAAAGGAACTCCGGGTTGTTATCAGATGATGTCAATTGGGAATTTAATCTATAATATTAATATAATAATATAAATAATTCAGTAGCATTGCCCCACAGGACTTGAGTACACATGCCCAATATTATGTAAATTTATTACCGCCCGTATTGTAATTGGCCTAAAAGAGATTAACATAAATCAATGAGGCCGCAACGCGACTACAAAGTTATGACCAATTTTCAGGGATATAATTAATTAACATTTTTCAGACCGATTAATTACCTCCCAAATCTGATTATGCGAACGTCCATAACAAATTTGATGCCGCGGCAAGGTATGACAAAGGAGAATTGGCGTTTTACGTTATTACGGTTCAATAATTTTTAATGCATTTCTATAGATTCTGTTGGATAATTACGAATCTTCAATATACATCCGACATATTTTTATTCGCTGTGACATCAGAGTGCTAAAAAGAGCGACATTATGTCGAGCGTAGGAAGTCCCGCGAAAACCGTTGAATGTCACTTGTATTTTTAGTGCTAGCACAAAACGTTCGCGCCGCTCCAAACAAACGGGGAAATTGTCAAACAAGGACATCCACATACAAAAGCAGTTGTATTCCTTTTAGCGCACACCAGCCGAACGGGTGAAACAAAAGCGGTTTTAGTTTCCATCAAGACCCCGATATAATAGTTAGCCTGACCACAAATATATAATAGTTAGCAGCCAAGAGAGCAGTACTGATAATATTTGCAGCGCGTAGTTGCCGATCGTCTGACGACCACGTGGAACGCAGCTAGCCACGCACCGCGGGCGTTCACGTCGTTCACCGTAAATAAGCTTGATTCGCAATTGTACGACGGCGGTCGGACGCATTAATTTTAGCCGCGGCGCAACTGCCGGAAAATTCAGCGGCGCACGCGTGGGCGCAGGGCCGCCCGCAGACCAGTTCGCTCGCTATATGGGATCGATTTTCCGCCCTAAGAGACCGAACCTCCGCTCTAGAGTTCGATCTTGCAAACGAAGCGATCCGCTGCCACTGACCCGCCTCAGCCGACGGTGTTGTATCACATAGTGTAAAACAACATCTTCCCGCTGTCTGTCTGTCCCTACGTATGCTTAGATGTTTAAAACTACGCAACGGATCTTGATGCGGTCTTTTTTACTAGATAGCGTGATTCAAGAGGAAGTTTTATATGTATAATACATTGCACCCGGGCAAAGCCGCGGCGTGTGGCTACTAGTATTTTAAATTTTTTCTCTTGCGCGCCGGGAAGGCTGCGGTGGAGAGGCGAGCGCGTAATAATGTGACGTCTCTATTTGAAGTGATATCCCGTTAAAAAAAACTACAAAAGGTGTCGTCTTCCTTCCCCTTCCCGATTTAGTTGCAGTGAATTCACAGAAACACATCCACACATTAACACGAAACGTGCGGATCACCGAGTGTCTGCAATCGGTAATAATTATAAAAGATAGGCGAATTGGGGTGCGCGTTGCTTAAAAATGATAAGGATGTGACACAAAATGAACAATGAGCGAGTAATACCGAGAACAAGTTGTGGGAAGTGATGGGCATTCCGTATTAACATCGTATGTTACTCTTAAGATATATCTTATGTTACTCGTATGCCTGGCAGTGCGTTCATTTTTAAGAGGGAACGGGAATAAAAGGTGCTAATTTTTTATTGCTAATCACGTGCACAGCGGTCAAGGAAAACATCGTGAGGAAACCTGCATATTTTCAAATTATAAATAATATTTAAAAAATAAAAAAATTCTAAATACGAAGTCTGCCATTTCGCACTGGGGTTGTGTGGTGGACTGTGCAGTAATACCCTCTGTACAGAAGAAGCCTTTGTCCAGCAATGGGACGCACATGTTTACATGTCTTTTAAAAAGAAACATGAAAATATGTTATGGTGGATGAGGAGGAATGAGATGAAACTGACGGAATCATTAATGAGAGAGGATTGGTGTAATAGTGAATATATGAAGCGTGAGGCCAATATTCATTGATTGAATCATCATAACTGCTCTTTCAAACATCCATGGAATAGGATAACTACTAATTTTCTAAATTCAAGGCGTTGTCAATTGTTTTCTGAATTTGCCTACCATGCTTAAAAAGTTTCAGGTAGTTGAAATCAGCCGGTCCATTCAAACAGACTAAAATAAACCATAAAAATTATTATCTTAACTTGTCGAATGAACCCCGTTGGTGCGGTGATCGTTAACTTTTATAATATCACCCTAACGTTGTGCTTACTATGAACCAATCAGCCGTAGAGCACTTGACGTGTAACGTACGCGACTAAACGGAATCAATGAATAGAATCGAAACTGCGTCATCTATACTCATCATCGTGATCATCATTTCAACCTGCTGTAAGTCCACAGCTGAACATAGGCCTCACCCGCAGGCTGCACGATTCTTAGCCCACTCCATTAATCGACTTCCTGACATCTGTACTCATAATATGCAAAAGATAATCTCATTATTATATGTATTATGATTAATGTATTATTAAATATAACAATTTGATATCGCCCTTAAAGTAGTCTTAAGGGCGATATCAAATTATAGAATATTTTCTTATGCTAAATTCTCTACAAAATTGATGTAATCAAAACGCGGCCAAGCTGGCACATAGACATTTTAGAATTGGATCAGCTGATTCTATACCAGCTGACATGCCAACAGGTTGATACTGTAGACACTACATTACTACAGTACTGTAGATTAGTTTAATCATACTTTAAATTCTGTAACTTTAAAAATTATCCAATGATAATTTTATACTATTGTGTAAGCCGACACGAAGGGAAGATGCGGAAATGCTTTCTTCATTTCGCGGTGTCAATTAAGAATTCTCGTTTTAAAGGCCGTTTCAAGTTATCTGCTAATGGTTCCTAAGTCGATTGTAAATCGTGTTATCAATTACGAGTCCCTACTCGAGAAACGGTCTACGGATTTCTCCCTTGAAACGGTGATAAATTGCAAAAAGTCCACGATGAAATCACGTTGCATTTTTAATGTTATGGCAGAATAAAATGATAACAACATTTATCCCAATTACTTCGTTGCTCAATTTTCTCCGCTAAAAGTATGATTTGAGTGATCCCAGTGTTTTTCGAAGCTCATTACGCGAAATAAATACCACGCGAGTCGGCGTTGGCACGTGGCCAGATCGGTTTTGAGGATTAGACGCTTTACCGTGAAGTCGTATCGATTAATTTTATTTGACACAAAAAATAACATAACGACATTATTGTAATTATTCATTGTGTTTACACGAAAGCTAAATTTAATTTACTGCATTTATCGCGTTTAATTTCGGGTTTCAATTGACGACGATGCTTTTTTGACTGACGTCATAATGTCATAATTAATACGGGTTACCGTCAAAATTACCTTACATTACATAGTATATTACATAATAGCTGAGCTTTGATTTTATTATATAAATTATACAATCTTAAAGAGCCATGATAGCTCAGTGTCCGGGTGCTCGCTTTTAATTCGATATCCTCGAGCAACCTAAATTCAAATACAGGTGCCGGCACCAATGAAATAGTTGATTATAAGCAGATGTATAAGATATAGATGTATAAGATGTATAAGATAAGCGATGAAGATAAGCAACGCGAGGAAACGTGCATATTTTCACAATAACAACAAAAATATATTTCGAAGATCGGCATATGGTGGGATATGCCCTAATAGCCTCTGTAAAGAGGCCTTTGCCAAGCAGTGGCAAATATAAGCTGATACTTTACTTTTTTTAGAATCCCAAGCTGGTGGTAACATTCTTAATTATTGAAGTTACTTTTTCCCATTCAAACTGTTGAGTTTGTTCATAGATGTTCTCGAGGCATAATTTTCGTATTAAAACAGAAATTCCAATCGCGGTGGAAGTTTTAATTGCACTCCATCATTCCTTTAACTCAGCTCATGTTCTAAGGAGGATTATGTTTATAAATGTGTTGCTTGTAGGTATCGCGAGTGTTTTTAAATAAAAATATTGATACGAAAATATCGGGAAAGAGTCTTGGACTTCGTCGGCGGCCGGCGCTCTGCCCCTCATATCTCGGTGCATCCCGTTACGGTCCCCTAAAGCGACTAGCTTTCATGATTTCTTTAATAAGAACCAAACGCATTTGGCTCCGCTCGAAAGTGGGACGCGAAAGCTTTTCATAACTTTAATTGGAACGCGGCGCGGGCTAGGCGACTCATTTTTTCCGCTAAACAGACGAATTGGCGCCGAGTGTCGATTCGATTCCTCGCCAGGTGTGGAGGGGGCCTTCGAGACGGTCTCTGTTACCTTAGGTAAGGGGCTGCGTAGTCTGTTCGTCGGAAATAGAACAACGCCCGGCATGTCGGTGTCGGCCGGTAGTGGGTTGGTTACGGTCCGGCGTTAGGCGTTGACACACCGCATTATCATCGCCTCCTCTGGCTAACGTCTTTTCTTTAAAACAAACTTGTTAGAGCGGACGTGACTCGTGCTGCTACGTAATATTTTAATTAACCCCACCCCCCTCCCCCTCTTGATGCTGTATTCGAAAGTCAACAACCATATGCTCTTAACATTTGAAGGATGGTGGTGATGCTATCGAAGTGATGCCAGGCTTATTTATTTAACATTCTGTCAGTCTGGAAGCAGAGCGACTACGCAATCGCCGCTTTTTTCAGAAATAAATAAATTTTAAAATTTTTATTTACATTCGGGGCCGCCTAAATATTAATGAGTGAATGAATGAATATACCGTGTTACCAAAAAGCAGAGAAAACGAACTCCGAACACATTGAAAATTGAAACAACGGTCAGCGTTTACAACAAAGTAAACGGTAAAAAAGAACACGGCTACCCGAACAAATTGGATCCCCGTTTCGAGATGTACTTTTCGATTTGGTAGCGTAACGGCGAGTTGATGCAATTACGGAGGCGCCAGCGGCTGCCGGGGTCTGGTCGTCTCTAATTGTTGCGTAGTGAGGGGAGTACGACTACGGCGGGGGGCCGGCCTTGCATGCGGGCTATGCACATGAATGACTCGATAGTGATCCTTGCCTGCACAACGGCTGTCTGAGTTCCCAATGTTTGGCTGATAGGGCTGCCACTTTGGGCCGTTTAGTATTACAGTTTGTGTTCGACAAATAAATCGTTGTGAAATCAGTTTAGGGATATCATTTCAAATGTTTCGTCGACGCACGCTTCCCGTTCTTCCTTTAAACGCGGAAGGCTTTTTGGGGCTTTGTGGGAACAAAATGACATGATGTGTACCACACATCATGTCATTTTGTTTACACATTCGTGAAAGGGTGCTTGTCGGACTAGTATTACAAAGGTGAATGTTGAAGCGTTTATGAAGCCAATTTTTCATTAACATCAATTATTTGAGTATTTGAACGCAGATAGTATATACGCTGTATTAACATAAATGACACTATTATCCCATAAAAATAAACATTATATTCCCCTATAGGAAGGTCTTAACGTTAATAAGCGTTAGTAATGTTAAAACATCCTATTTTAATGGAATAATGAAACGACGACATAACAATGAATTCACAGTATGAACATTATAAATGAAGTATATATAAGCTTGGTTTTACATAATGATAAAAGTGAAATAAAATGAGATATAAAAATATCTAATATTACATTTTATTTCAGTTTTATCAATAGATCTAACCTATTATTCCGATTCATATTTTCCTAATTCATTCATGTTTTTGTAAAATGTCATTCGTTCATGGAATGACAGCCCTGGCAGTGGGCACACGAGCAAGTTTCATTGATGACTCACCGCCAGTAATACCATAATAATACAGAGTTAGCTCGTCTGTATGACGCAACGTGTTTTATTAAAAATCTTTTATGTGTTGCTATTGTAGTATTATGACACGCGAAGATAGCTCAAGCCACTGTCTCTTTGAAGGCTATTGTCCTGTCAATTATCTTATGTGCTCTCTTTACTTCTTGACTAATAGGTAACTTTATATAACAAACAATCCTTTATCTATACCTAGACAGAAAACTTC